AGATCTTCTAACGTTGTACCGGACAACGATTTTATCGGTTTAAGAGTACGGTAGTTTTTGCTTCCAGTCGGCGGCTAAAACGCACATCATCAAACTGGAACGGATCCAGTATCGCTGTCTTCGTATCGCGTTAGGATGCATGCACTCGACTCATACGATGAGTCTCGAAGTGTTAGCGGGCATATTGCCACTATCTGATCGGTTTTCGGAATCATCCCTCAGGCTCCTCACCCGTTGCGAAGTTATGAACCCACTGGTGATTGCACAGCATAATCCTCATCGTGTATGCTTCTCCGACTTCGGCAATTCAGTCAGTTTTGATTTATCTATGACGCAAGAGATTCGCGGAATCCCAGAACATCATCGTTCCATGATTGTTCCGTCAATTTACGCTGCAAAGTTTGGCCAAGTTGATTCCGCAAGATCGTTCTTCACAGATGGATCACTAATAGAGTCGTCCGCTGGTTTTGGTATTTTTAACGAATTTCATAGCGCCTCTCGAATGCTTCAAGCTCCTTGTTCCGTATATGTTGCTGAGCTGGCGGCAATATACTATACGCTAGAAACGATCGCCTCACTTCCACCAGATCACTATTTTATTTTGACGGATAGTCTCAGTTCTGTCGAGGCTATTCGCTCCATGAGGCCGGTAAAGCACTCCTCGTATTTTCTCATGAAAATACGAGAGCTTTTTAGTGCTTTATCTTTATCTTAATTTTTGATTTCCGAAATTTCATGTACCCTTTGGAGATTTTCGAGAGTGAAAAAAGTCAAACTTGGACGCGTTTGCGCCACCCCTAAATCATGTCCGATTGAGCTCAAATTTTGCATAGGGTCATTTTTCGAGACAATAAACATTTTGTATATGGTTTGTTAGCGAAATTTGATGGTCAAATTTTTCCCATACATTCATTGGCAGTCTATTGTAGAACGACCGCCAGTAAACCCGTGTTGATCAGCACTCAGATACTGCTTGCTGTGAGAGAGCAACGGTTCCATAATAACAAGCTCGAATATTTTCGAAACAGCACTCAGCGATGTAATTCCACGATAGTTATCCACGGCTCGTTTGCTTCCCTTTTTGTGGACAGGAAACATGTGTGCAAATTTCCAGGAGGATGGAAATATACCACTGGAGAGGGACATACGGAATAGACGGTGAAGTGGAGTTAACAAGCAAGCAATATGTTTCTTCAAAAACACGGACGGAACTCCATCGGGTCCAGGGTTGAAGGACGATTTGAGCTGCGTTGCAGCGTTAGAAAGCATCTCAACGTTGACATCAATTGCACCCAGCGTTTGACCATTTAGTGGGATGTTCCTGGCTGCGAGGAAAACATGGTCGTCACTTAGTCTCTCATCAGTGAACACACTGGCAAATTGACAGAAAAAAGGCGGTAAATATCCTGCGGAGTGGAAGCTACTTCACTGTTCACTTCCATTGACGATGGGAGGCCAGATTCTCTGCGTTGCTCGTTCACGTAGTTCCAGAAGGATTTCGGGTGTAGTTTAAGGTTACGCTGAATACCTCGTTGAAATCACAGAAAACATCGACGACTGGCTCGCTGATACTCGTGATTATGCCTCACGTAGTGATGTTTCAGAGAAAACGTGCGATACTTCGTAAATCTTCTCAATGTCACTTCAACCTACGCAGCTCAATCGTCTGCCAGGGAGGGTGAGAGTCTTTGCGGTGAATTCTTTTCGGGACGTGTCTGTCAATGACATATGCCAAGACTTGAGAAAAAGTTTGCGCAGCGGCCTCAACGTCGTCATGATCGAGAATGTTCTCCCAGTCCATGTTTGACAACACATCTACAATGCTTCGATGGTTGGCCTTTCGAAAGTCATAAGAAACCGCAGCAGAAAGACTATCGAAATCACGAACGAGGTTGTCCTCAACAATGACAATCACAGGAGGGTGGTGCGGAACAAGCTTAACTAGTGGACAAGGTGCTGTGGAAATAAACGGAGCATTGTCCTGAGTGCTCACGCAGCAGAGGTCCAAACTACGGTTGTTCTCGTTGACTACGTGGGTAATTTGAGAAAGCGTTGCTACGCTATAGTTATCGAGAAGGCCGATAGCTCCTGCGTGAAATACAGAACGTTCTGGATCTGGATAGAGGAAGCCGCTATGGGATGGTTTCCACGAAACGCCTGCTAGGTTAAAGTCCCCAAAAATGAATAGCTCATCAATTGGAGTCGCTCTTTCCATTACTGTGAAGACTGATTGACAGTGAGTTTCGATGAGTTCAAGATCACGAACTCGATCTGGAGGCATGTACAATGCGCACAAAAATAATGTGCGATCGCCCAGTTTAATGGCTGTCCAAACCTGTTCCACACTGTTCCACGATTCATTTTCCATTGCACTCGCCTCCAATCCGGAACGGACAGCCCCAAGAACGCCACCACCAGTAGATTTTCGACTGTTGTTTGGATTCCGATCGCAACGAAAAACCTCATAATTGGATCCGAACACCTGGCTGGAAAGCGTTCGCGAATCGAGCCACGGCTCACATAGGACAATCACATCATAGCAACAATCCGATATTAATTAATCCGATATTAATTATGTACTCGCCTGTTCTAGCAAGTTGGAAGACCCCCAATCCACATCTAAACTCAGGGCCAGGACGACTATGATGAACGCTGACAGGAATTAGCACGACTGAGTTAAAGGAACCGGGGGCTTCCATAAAGCTTTCCACGATGCGTCCCGGTTGAAAAGCAGATTGGTTCATCCAGAGTTCAGAAGACATCGAGCTAGTTTTCAGAAGGCGAGGTTGGATCGGATGGTTGCGTTAAGTATTCGCTGCTGGACGCGGAAGGTGTCTCAGAAAAAGAAGGTTTTGGAACGAAGACCTCGTCACCGATTCCAAAACCAGGGCCAGGATGACTTCTGATGATTAGATCTACAAACAGCTCGACTGGTTCGGAGGGATCAGAGGCTTCCGAAGCGCTGTGTTGTTGCGTCCCAGATCCGCCCAACAGCACGTTAGTAATTGAAAAGGAAGTATCCTGGAACTGGTGTCACTGTGCTGGACCAATACGGGTGATTTTGGTTACCTTCTTTGACCGGGAATCATCGAACTCACGGAACTGAATGCCCTCCGGCCACGAATCGCAGAAAAGGGCAACCCGTTTGTTTTGGTTGACGCCGACTTTGAAGAAAACGTAGTTTAACGTTGACGGATCTTTTCCTCTGGGAACCAACTTGGCAACCCGAGGTTTCTCGTCTGTTTGCAGACACAAACACTTAGAGACAAAAGATGAAATTTCATCGTTCGTAGTAGTGGGATGAAACGCCGATAAGTAAACCCACACCAGATCATCGTTCAGGTCCACGGTTCTGACCGAGTTGATAAGTGCTTTCTTACCACACAGTATGGGCTTGTCGTCAGTGCTAGATAAAGTACGGCGACGTTTCGGGGTGCCACGATAGGAATCAAAGCGGTCATTTCTGGGCCAACGTAGAGTTGAGCCGACTGCGATCTTCGATTCCACTTTGGCTGCAAGAGCAATAACAGCCGAATTCAATCTCTCGATGTCCTCTTTCATCGAATCAACCGCATTTGGAGCCACAGAAGTCTGATTGACGTCACGGTTCACGATATTACGGAAGTGGCCGTTTGAAAAAAGCGCCGCACAGTGATCGCACATCCAGAAGACATTCTTCTCGTACAATCCAAGTTGATCAAGAAGTTCGAGATCAACTTTGGCACAAATCACGTGAAATGTGTCGCCACAAAAACCGCGACAAACAATACGTTCGAAGTCTGAAATGGTTTTTTGGCACTTCTTGCAAGCCATGATCACTGTACTGAAACGATGTACTCGTACGGAAGGTTTCTTACGAACTAACTTATATGATCTATTCTGGATCTACACCAATGCGTGCGATGTTTTTTTTCTTATCGGTTTGCTACCTACGTTCGGCCCTACTATCGATCGTGAAGCGATCGATAAGGTACGGGATGGAATTATAATGGACATTGGTTGAAGTAGATCAACCATATCACCTATACTGATCAAGTGAGTGATCTTGAAGTGGCATGTGGTGGCTAGAGATACAAAAAAACTTATACCTCGGTGACCGGCGTGAACAAATGTTATGTGGCGGGGTTTGCAAAAACAAATTAAAAAGCGATTCTCTGCCCTGAGGAACAACATTTTTGAAAATTATGCTTTTCAATTAGACCCGAACTCCAAACCCTTTTGGAAACTCACAAAAATTTTGAAAAAAGAAACATCAAAAGCCTATTTTAGCGCTTAAAGAAGGTGGTAAAATTTTGATCACGAGAGTTCCCATAGTTTCAGTTTGGGTCTTACTAGTCCTATTGAGAATCAGGTTGCTCGGGATTATCTGAATATTTTCTCTCGGGAACTAAAAAGTTTCATAATATGAAAGCTCCAGGTTATGACGGAATTTTCTATATCATCATCATTATCATCATCATCAAAAAACTCCCAGAGAGTACCTTGTCTATCTTGGTGAAAAAATCCAGCGATTAAAAATCCAGCTGAAGCCTCTACATAGCTACCGTCCAATAAGTTTGCTTTCTTCAATAAGTAAACTTTTTGAATAGATTATTTTGAATGGAATGATGTTTCACATCAATACGAACTCAATTTTTGCAGATGGGCAATTTGGATTTCGCCATGGACATTCAACTACTCAACTCTTAAGATTTTCCAATTTAATTCGTTCAAACAAATCTGAAAGCTGCTCAACTGGAGTTGCTCTTCTAGACATATAAAAAAAAGCATTCGACAGTGTTTGACATAAAGGTTTGATTGCTAAATTGAAAAAGCTTAATTTTCCACTCTATATTATGAAATTAGTTCAAAATTCGAGTAGTTCAGTTTTAGTACACTGAAGAAGTCTGATCATTGTAGACGAAATACGCGTATCTGTCAAGGATAAGCACATAAGGTAGTGGAATTAAATGGAAATTACTAATCCTTCTCTCTTTCTCTCTATCTCTCTCTGTATACAGGTATTCCACTAAGACGCCCACATTCATCAGGAGTTCAACATTATTTAACTGACATAACTCTGCAGGTAAATTATCAAAATTCCAAATCTGAACGACTACCTGTTAGAGCAGGAGTTCCTCAGGGGAGCATTCTTGGCCTACATTTTATAACATTTTCACTTCGGACCTCCCTGATTTGCCACTGGGTTGCCGCAAACCTTTGTTCGTTCATGACACAGGCATTTCTGCTAAAGGAAGAAATCTTCGTGTTATTTGCAGCAGACTGCAGAATAGTTTAGATATTTTCTGGAAGATTTATGGAAGATTTTTCCCAACGCTTCCAAAACTCAACTTATAATACATCCAAATAAGCCTAGAGCTTCCTTTTTAAAACCTAGTAGTAGTCACTTAGTCACTATGAACGGATTACAATTGGAAGGCAGCCCAGTTTTTACACTCAGAAGATCCCTGCCAATGACCTTTTTCCTTATTTAACCGTCGGTCTCTGTTCCGGAATCTAGTGTCAATCACCGACGGACATCGATTGCCATCCATTGAGGGCAATCGAATATGTATGAAGGCAGCTTCCACACCTACGTAGGATACCGCACCCATTCAAACACATATGGGCCGGGACCAACGGCTTTACTTCCCTTTCGAAGGAAGACGTGACCTGAGATTTTTTATGCCTCAGAAAAATACCACCGACCTCGGCTGGGATTGAACCCGACCCATGGGGGTGAGAAAACAGTCACGCTTACTACTATACCACCGGCTTCGGCAAAATTAATTTGTTGTTTTTATCGATAATCGTACTTCGCATCCAGGGGATTATCCACTCAGCAGTTTGTAGTCCAAAGTGGAATAGGACTAGAAAGTAATCTCGCTTTTTTTTAGTAAGCCTGAACAGGAAACCAGAAGAAGATGAGTTGTACAAACGAATTATTGACAAATGGACTAATCTCAAGTAGTATTACCAGTGTTCGATCGTGGAGATCAAATTCGGATGCCGGAGGTATTACTACCCGCTATATCTGATAGCAGCACACCAAACCACGGGAAAAAGTAATTCACCCTTGTAGCACACTTCACTGGTATCGCAATGCTCTTTCTTGTGACGGTTTCTTCGTCACGAATCACCCACTGTAAATATCACGGTTTCAATCAATCCCGTGATCCATTTATTGTCACCTTTGGCTAACACCGAGATAAGGTTCGGACTTCGAAAGAACTCTCGAATTTACTGCACTGAGAGGGTTTGCTTTTTTGCCCGGAATAAAGGGAACGACTTGGGTTTGTTACCGGTTGCTTTGGCTTTATGTTTTGTACTGATGGGATTGTATAACTTACTTAACATTGAATGGGGTTTGTGCGTACTATAGTTTGTGGGTCGATCGTAAATTTGCAGAAACGTTCCTTATGACCGACAATGCCATTTTGAATCCAGCCTTATTTTTTAAAAGGGCATATAGAAATAAAACAAGCTTATCTTCAGAAAATTTTTTACTCGAAAACTGTTTCCCGATCGGTTTGGTGTCTTCGGCAATATTTCAGATAATCATAACTTGGATCATAACTTGAAAACATCACTTCCAATCGAAATAACGTTAGGGACCAGATATTTACAGATTTTAGGAGTCATAGAATTTGTCGCACTTAAGCTTACATTCATAATTATGGATAGTTTACAGAAAGAGAGAAGGATTAGTAATTTCCATTTAATTCCACTACCTTATTTGCTTATCCTTGACAGATACGCGTATTTCGTTTACAATGCGCAGACTTCTTCAGTGTCTTCTACTTATACTGTACTAAAGGGTGATACGGTCAAAATTTGGTCAATATCAACTTGACGTATTTCTTTCAATTTTGCATTTAAAAAACCTGAACACCCCTCATTTTGAAGGTGTGTGTGTGTAGAATGTTGCTCCTATTTTGATTTTGGAATTCACTCTTCAGTTGTCAAAATGCCGTCCAAGCAAGAAGAGCAGCGTATCAAAATTTTGCTCGCGCATCGCGAAAATCCGAGCTACTCGCACGCAAAGTTGGCAAAATCGCTAAAAGTTGCCAAATCAACCGTTACAAATGTAATTAAAGTGTTTGGGGAACGTTTGTCGACAGCCAGGAAGTCTCGATCGGGGGGAAATCGAAAACCGGAAGCCGCTGAGACGACAAAGAGAGTTGCCGGTAGTTTCAATCGAAACCCTAACCTCTCTCTCCGAGATGCCGCAAATAAGCTGGGTGTATCGTCTACAACCGTGCATCGAGCCAAAAAACGAGCCGGACTATCGACTTACAAGAAGGTAGTGACTCCAAATCGCGATGATAAACAAAATACGACGGCCAAAGCGCGATCCCGGAGGCTGTACACGACGATGCTGCCGAAGTTTGACTGCGTGGTAATGGACGACGAAACCTACGTCAAAGCCGACTACAAGCAGCTTCCGGGACAGGAGTTTTATACGGCCAAAGGAAGGGGAAAGGTAGCAGATGTTTTCAAGCACATGAAACTGTCAAAGTTCGCAAAGAAATATCTGGTTTGGCAAGCCATCTGTACCTGTGGCTTGAAAAGCAGCATTTTCATAGCTTCCGGGACTGTCAACCAAGAAATTTACGTGAAAGAGTGTTTGAATAAACGTCTGCTGCCTTTCCTGAAGAAACACGGTTGTTCCGTACTGTTTTGGCCGGATTTGGCATCTTGCCATTACGGTAAAAAGGCCATGGAGTGGTACGCCGCCAACAACGTGCAGGTGGTTCCCAAGGACAAGAACCCTCCCAACACGCCAGAGCTCCGCCCAATTGAGAAATACTGGGCTATTGTCAAGCGGAACCTAAAGAAGACCAAAAAAAACTGCTAAGGGCGAGCAGCAGTTCAAGGCAAACTGGCTTTCTGCGGCGAAGAAGGTGGACAAGGTGGCTGTACAAAATCTGATGGCAGGGGTCAAGCGTAAGGCCCGGCAATTCGGATTTGGAAAAGCGGAAGCCTAACTGAATATTTTTCCTGAATTTTATACTAATTGAACTTGAAAAAGAAATTTAATTTGATTTTTTATATAAACGATTTCACCGATTTACACGCGTTTTCCCTTGACCAAATTTTGACCGTATCACCCTTTAGGGACGTGTATAAGCAGAAGACATTGAAGAAGTCTCTATCTTCAAACAGGTATTCCACTAAGACGCCCACATTCATAAGGAATTCAAATATCTCATTGATTTCACTTCAAATAAGTTTTATGTAAGCTATACATTTGACACATCTACTAACAAAGGCTGGTGAAAAAAGGATTTAAAAAAATACTTGTTGGCTGTCCCTAGCCGCACATCCACCTCATACTAATGTTTACTAATTGGCGTTCTTCGAAAAACTTGTCGCTTCTAGCAAATATTGACTGTTTATTTTGGAAATTTTCGGTTGAGTGAAAGGATAGTCCGAAGTCTGCTATATTTCACACACAGACTGACGTTTGCTAGAGTAAAGAATTACAGAGTCAACATCAACGCCAATTACAGCCAATATTTAGTAATGATTGTGTTGATAGATGATCGACATCGCAGATATTTCAAACCTTTGCCAAGTTTCCAAAGCGGAAATTGTTTCACAGTTAAAATAACGTTTAAAACATCATCGCTCGTTCTAAAAGCGCCTACGGACCCCACTCCGATGTCCTGTTAGTCTTGAAACCCGAAAGCGGTAGTTATCGAACGTGTTAAGATTTTGGTATCAAGATTTATTTGGATCTACCAGTTTTGCTTTAGCTCACTCACTTGCTTTAGCTTCTTTCGATAGCAGCCGTTTCTTCCATTGAAACGAAAATTAAAATTAAATTGCTGCTATATTTATTTATATTGGTAAGGTAAGCAATCAGGCTAAGGCCTTGTTCTCCTCTGCTGTCCGAAGAAGTCGTCTCCACTCTCTGCTCGATCCATGGCCACACTTCGGCTGCCTCGTAGTCTGCGAAGGGTCTGCAGGTCGTCTTCTACTTGCCCGCTGCGAGTCTCTTCTTCTTGTTCCTGTTGGGTCGCCTTCGAGAACCATTTTTCCTGGGTTGTAGTGCGGCATTCATGAAACGACTTTATTCGCTTTTAAATAAAGAAGACGACCCTATATTCAATCTTTTTACAATCAAAATAATCTACAGACCCTACATGATAAGGAAAAAAATACTCAAAATTAAATTTATAGAAACTCAACGTTGGGTTCTATCATTTGAGATCCACCGTTGAGTGAATTAGCAAAGTTACGTTGGTTTAAATTTACTCATCTATTGAGTTAAAATGTTTTTTTTTCCCTTTATTTGTTTTCCGTTCATTTTTGACGCCACAGAAGCAGCTCCCACACCTGGACCCTACCCCTATCGACCCATCAACTTATGAGCCGGGAACCAACTGCTTTTCTTCCCTGTGTGATCAGAGATGTTATGCCTCAGAAAATCCCGGCGGCGCTGACTGGGATTGAACCCAGGCCTGCCGGGGTGAGAGGTAATCACGCTCAACACTACTCCATTGGTGCTCCAACTTAATCATTGTTAAGCTCAAAACGTAATATTTTTCACTATTGATTGATATAACACTTTCCGTATTTGTTTAAAAGTTACATGTTTGCGAATTTTGTTGCATAAAGTTATTATGAATTAAACAAAACACGCTGTGACTCATAGTAAAAAAGAACTAAATTTTCAGTTAAAAGTACTCATCCGTTTAACTTATTTTTCGATGAAAATCATAGCAACCTGCACTGTGTCGATGCTGTCATATTTTCGTGCTCCATTGCCTCCGTTCGTGCTCCATCGGTCATCGTATTAGTCTTCGTTAGTGCGTGGCACGAAGCGACAAAAAAACATTGGATGCTGGTAGGTTGTGAGTGTTTTTAGTTCCATTGTAGCATGATGATGATGATGATAGCATGATAGTGGCTTACACATTGAAGCACGTAAACTTAGTCCGATAGCAGTGGGCTCTCTTCTCTGTTTATCTTGATCAAGCTTAATAACCTCTGATTGTCCTCAACATGTCGCTGTATGAAGGGCCAAAAATGGATTAGGTGAATTGATAGGCAAAATCGCCTATACGCATCTACGGGACAATAAAGAATCTCCTTCCAGCAACATGATCAGCCAATTGATCAACAAGACGAGTTCCCAAACAGGAAGATGCCGCAATGAGTGGGGTGAAGAGCCCGCCCTCTATCCACGAAATGTTATCAACAGGGAGTTGACATTCCCACTCTCCCCGTCCAAATCGCTTCAATCGGGTGCCCCTTTTTTGTATGTATTTAAATGTTAATGTTATGTAAATGTTATATATAATGAATCATCACTTATGCGAGTCGATTGTTATGAATATTGTCAATAATACTTACATATAGATGAAGATGATGCCACCAATCCAACTTTGAATCGTTCGGAGAAGGGGCTCATGGTTCCACTCATCCTGTATAGTCTTCTTTTTCTTCTTCCGGCTCGCTCACCACCCGAAATGAACGCTCGGTGCATCATAGATTTGATATGGTTAGTAATAGTGTTACATGCAACAGAAAATGATGAGTTTTTTAAAGTAATATTTTCATCTGAATTCCTAGCTAACCACATCGTATCTCAGTGACAATGTCACACTCTGAACCTACATTTAAAGTTATGTCTTGATTATATGGTTACTGTGCAAGTACCACAAGTTCAACAACGCCCAACTATGGACAGTTCAATGCTATGGACACCAAAGAATATATAGAGATAAAGCTCAAAAATACAGTTTTAACTGATAGTGACTCATCAAGCTGTTCCATATTGGACCCTGCCAACCCACGGAACCTGTAATGTGGGCCATCAGAATGGTTCATCGGTTGCTAAGTCAAGTACTGCTCAAACTGAAGCGATACATTTCTCAATGTTTCAACTTTATTCTAATGTAAACTTAATATCGTCTCGCCCATATGCCCATACACACCCAAAACCCATCCCCACACAAAATCAAATAAAAAGGTTTATGGTAAACACGTCCGGACATTAACAGGGAAATGGGTTTACATCTTCACTATCGCAACTACGGGTAATCATCGAAAGTATTTGCATTTTACTCAGGCACTTTTGAGGGAACTTCTTGACTCTAATACCTGAAATGTGCCACGACCAACCTGGCACAACGATGCCGTTACGCTCTCTGATCAAAGCGCAGGGAGTGTTTTAGTTCCGTTGTTTACAAAAATCTTAATTTGTATCTAATGTAGATTTGCATGGACCATGAGCTTCCGAAGAAGTCGAACTTGGTATAAGGACGATGAGGATTTATTCTGCTGCAAACGAGTGGTGGCGCGTAGACGAGTGGTTGCGGAAGTGCTTATTAATTGTTGTGTAATAATTTCAATGGCTGCAAATAAATGCATTTTAACTTTGGTTGTCATATATTCGTTGTCATATAAAGAATGGAAAATTATTAAATTATGAATTATTCCAACGTTGGGTAAAGTTTACCTATTTATTAACCTAATTTTTCCTAGCCCCACTCAAGACACGTTTAGGTGAAAGGAACTCAATTTTGGTACTTTTTTCTTACCGTGTAGAAATTCTTGTGGTACCACTATTTTTGAAATTTGTCAAGAAATTCAAACAAAGTCATTGGATTGATGAAATATTTATCCTGTTTTTTTCAGGTGGTTCAAAATGGATCAACAATCGTATGAAAGTGAAATTAAGTCGGGTGGCCACGGCGAAAAATTCCAAACAGACGTTGCCCTCGTACTGTTGCTGCGTACGCGGGAATTAAGTTCCACTACAAGGATGGCGTATGAAATGAAGATGGCCGACAAGTTTGACGATGTTGTGTTGATTGACGATACAAACAAGGAGATCCACTTAATTCAAGCAAAACACGCCGATACCAAGGATGAAAAGGTTAAAAATATCGATCTGGATGCCCTGTTTCCAACTGGAAATAGTGCCAAACGCACCGGGGACTTTGATTTGTGCAAGTATGCCAAATCCTACATGACTGTGACTGGAAGATTGGAACTAACGGCGTTCAAGAAGATGTTTTACATCTTCACCAATAAGGATCTGAAACAGACCGATAACGAGTGGGTGAAGATCGAAGAACGAGAAGTTAATGAAATCCTACGTTTTTCTGGATCCAGTGCCAAAAACCTGGAACTTATTCCAAGCGAAAAGGCTATCAATTACATCAACAAAGATATCATTGCGATTAAAGATGCGATCAAAGAGTTCTTTCACAGCGGAACGGTCAGCCAAATTTTTGCTCACTATTGCACTCCATTGAAAGACGTTATGATCATAGACCGGAAAAAGTGTCGCTTTGCAAGCAACTTCAATGCTGAACATACAAATCCCAATGTTGCCAAGCTATACACCATGTTGCAAAGCGATCAGGTTGATATGAAGAAAGAAGTAACCGTCAACAATAATTTCCTGGTGAGAGACTCAAGGATCAAACTTTTGCCACCATTCGTTGGTGAGGATGACATTCGTGGCTTCTTTCGCGATTTGACTCTATCGGTGGGTCAACCAAACGATTTGCAACCCATCATCGTTGGTGAACTACTGGCTTGGATGAAGACGTGGATTCAACCGGACATTCTCGGTAAGCTGGGGCAAAAGGACTTGGATCAGGTGTATATCGACCTGAAAGATTATTTTGTCAAATGCAACGAACCTGACAACAAAAATAGGAAGCGTTTTTTGGGTATAAAACAATGCTTTGGACAATTAAAGCGTGGAATGGAGACGGGTATGATAAAGCGCGTAATGGCAGAGGTGGAAGAATGGGAATTTACGTATATTAACCGCCATATCAAGTACGAAGAGACGGCATTAGAACCAACCGGCGGAATGCATGCTACTATGGAAAGGATGGACATCGTAAGGGAATCAGAGGGTAAATTGTTAAGTATTGTTAAGAAACGGTCAGGCAACGACAAGGTAACATATAAGGATAGGACTAGCACAATAATTCGACAGATAAGTGATACTAGATTAGTTGAAGAGCTTCGAGGAAGATTCAAAAACCAGCAACATATTTTACTTGTAGCAGACCCCGGTATGGGAAAAACCATTTTACTGCAGTTTTTGGCATTTCAGGTTCAAAAACAAAGCCACTCTGCAGTATTCTTGGTGTATTTAAGCACGCTTTGTAATGCACTAAACAAAATTGAAAAAGTATCAAACTTAGACGATGTCCGGGAAATTCTCAGCGCTGTTCTTTCAGAGAATAACTGTAATCTCATCCTTAATGCCCCGGAAAGGCGAAATGACGAAGGATATTCCATTATTTTAGCATTGGATGCATTTGACGAAATACATTCCAAATACACCGAGAAAGTAATTTGTATACTTGAACTGCTCAGCTCTATAAAGAGTATTCAGTTCATAATCAGCTCGAGACTCCACGTGCAGGAATTATTGCAAAGGAAGTTCGATGTGAAGCTAATATCCCTAGTCCCTTTTCGGCATGAAGATCAGATCCAGTACTTGAAGAAAATATGGATGAAGGACAGTGCTCATGAAAAAGTTGTTGAAAACTTTTCGGAACTTCTTTTAAAAAAATATCATTCCAGCATTTTATCCAACTTGAGTGAAATTTCCGGTTTGCCTCTGATGATGCGAATGCTCGCTGAAATTTACTCTGACAAATTCGAACAATTTATTTCAGCAGCAAATTCCGACAATATGAAACCGTTTGATTGGTCAGAAGACACATTGAATATTGTGCAACTGTTAGAGCAGTTTGCCAAGACATGTTTTCACAAGAAATTTGTAGAAAAATTTAAGTCCACCGTTGATATCAACGATGCTGAATTCAATTCACTGACTAACGTGTACATTTTGGAACATCAACTGCTAGCGATAAAGCTGCTAGACATTGAAATGCTCATGGATTTATTCACGGTGCCGTTTTTTAAGAAAATATATGACTCATTCAAAAGCCGTTGTGAGAAGGATGCAGAAAAGTCTATTTTGGTGAAAGTAGTCAACAATAATGTTCAGTTCTGCCATTTATCATTTGGTGAATACTTCGTAGCAACATATTTAAGTGATAACATTTCCAAGTTGGAACCAAACTTATTGATCAACGTTCTATCTCAACACGATGTTATTAGGAAACTGACACTGATCAAGCTAGGAGAAAATGAAAACTGCTCCGAAACTTTAAACCATTTGTGCAGAATAAACACGAACGTACCTTTGTGGGTATGCAAGAGTGGTTGTCTGAAATTGGTTTCATCCCTAGAATTTGAAAAGTTCTCCACTATTAAACTAAATTATATGTTAAAAGTATCTGCGAAATGCGGATATTTCGAAATATGTAATTTTCTAATTGATTACAATGCAAATGTCGATAAATGCAATGCGCTGCATTCTGCCGTTGAGAATGGCCATCTGAGAGTTGTGAAACTATTGATAGCGAAAAATGCGGACCCAAATGAGGTGGACGATAGGAGATGGACTGCACTCCATCATGCATGCAAAAACGGAAATGCAGAAATAGTTCAATTCTTTATTGATCGCCGTATGAACACTTCCTCTCGGTCAATCGACGGTGAAACTCCATTTCACATTGCTGCGGAGAATGGCCATCTGAATATTGCTAAACTATTGATAGAGAATAATGCGGACCCAAATGAGATGGACGATAATAAATGGACTGCACTTCATTGTGCATGCCAAAACGGAAATGTAGAACTAGTTCAATTCTTTATTGATCGCGGTATGAACATTTCCTCTCGGTCAACCACAGGTAGAACTCCACTTCTCATTGCTGCGGAGAACGGCCATCTGAGTGTTGTTAAACTATTGATAGCGAATAATGCGGACCCAAATGTGATGAACGATAATAAATGGACTGCACTTCATTATGCATGCAAAAACGGAAATGTAGAACTAGTTCAATTCTTTATTGATCGCGGTTTGAACACTTCCTCGCGGTCAATCGAAGGTGCAACTCCACTTCACATTGCTGCGTGGAACGACCGTCTGAATATTGTTAATCTGTTGATAGCAAATAATGCGGACCCAAATGAGATGGACGATGATAAATGGACTGCACTTCATTATGCATGCTTCGACGATAATGTAGAACTAGTTCAATTCTTTATTGATCGCGGTATGAACATTTCCTCTCGGTCAACCACAGGTAGAACTCCACTTCTCATTGCTGCGGAGAACGGCCATCTGAATATTGTTAATCTGTTGATAGCAAATAATGCGGACCCAAATGAGATGAACGATAATAAATGGACTACACTTCATTATGCATGCAGAAACGGAAATGTAGAACTAGTTCAATTCTTTATTGATCGCGGTATGAACATTTCCTCTCGGTCAATCAAAGGTGAAACTCCACTTCACATTGCTGCGGAGAACGGCCATCTGAATATTGTTAATCTGTTGATAGCGAAAAATGCGGACCCAAATGAGATGGACGATAATAAATGGACTGCACTTCATTGTGCATGCCAAAACGGAAATGTAGAACTAGTTCAATTCTTTATTGATCGCGGTATGAACATTTCCTCTCGGTCAACCACAGGTAGAACTCCACTTCTCATTGCTGCGGAGAACGGCCATCTGAATATTGTTAATCTGTTGATAGCAAATAATGCGGACCCAAATGAGATGAACGATAATAAATGGACTACACTTCATTATGCATGCAGAAACGGAAATGTAGAACTAGTTCAATTCTTTATTGATCGCGGTATGAACATTTCCTCTCGGTCAATCAAAGGTGAAACTCCACTTCACATTGCTGCGGAGAACGGCCATCTGAATATTGTTAATCTGTTGATAGCGAAAAATGCGGACCCAAATGAGATGGACGATAATAAATGGACTGCACTTCATTGTGCATGCCAAAACGGAAATGTAGAACTAGTTCAATTCTTTATTGATCGCGGTATGAACATTTCCTCTCGGTCAACCACAGGTAGAACTCCACTTCTCATTGCTGCGGAGAACGGCCATCTGAATATTGTTAATCTGTTGATAGCAAATAATGCGGACCCAAATGAGATGAACGATAATAAATGGACTACACTTCATTATGCATGCAGAAACGGAAATGTAGAACTAGTTCAATTCTTTATTGATCGCGGTATGAACATTTCCTCTCGGTCAATCAAAGGTGAAACTCCACTTCACATTGCTGCGGAGAACGGCCATCTGAATATTGTTAATCTGTTGATAGCGAAAAATGCGGACCCAAATGAGATGGTCGATGATAAATGGACTGCACTTCATTATGCATGCAAAAACGGAAATGTAGAACTAGTTCAATTCTTTATTAATCGCGGTATGAACATTTCCTCTCGGACAATCAAAGGTGCAACTCCACTTCACATTGCTGCAGGTTACGGCCATCTGAATATTGTTAATCTGTTGATAGCGAAAAATGCGGACCCAAATGAGATGAACGATAATAAATGGACTGCACTTCATTATGCATGCTACAATGGAAATGTAGAACTAGTTCAATTCTTGATTGATAAAGGTGGGAACACCTGCTCTCAGACAATGTTTGGTAGTACTCCACTTCAAATTGCTAAGAAATACGGCCATCAAAGTGTTGTTGAACTGATTACTGCGAACACTTAGAAAATTAGCTGGACGATTAAAAATGAACTTCCCTCCATCATGCATACCGAAACGAAAATGTGGAAATAGTTCAATTCTTGATTCTCGCTCTTGGAAAATCCATGATGTAACTCTACTTTACATTGCTGCAGGGAATGGCCATGCGAACGAGTGCTGTGAAACTCTTGATTAAGGGGTTTCATATGTTTTAATTCAACCAAAAAATCGACACGTGTTAGTATCAGTATTAGTTAACACGAATTTGTAACTGATGTTCGTTGACTGAATTTTGTGCCGTCAAAATATTTTTATCTTTTTTGGTACCTAATTCCACTGAAATAATTTTGGTATCGATGACAGATACGATTATTAGCAATTTGAATAGATTTTTCTCCTTTACTTTACTAAAACCTTTGGTTATTATTAGTTAGGTAGGTTCTAAACATTGTAGTTTCATTTTTTTTTACCTGTGATCTTGACATTTTTACCTACGGGATGAGTACTTAAGAGGGTTAGGTTTTTGATAAGTCTTTAGTGGGAATGACACTGATGAAGACTGTACATTGTAGTCGAAATATGTATCTGTCATGGATACTTCGTAGATTGAATACTAGCGACACTCACGACTCTTTTGAAACTCTCAGTCAGACTACTTTCAGGAATAATGCTGGGGAGTAAACATTGATTCCAATCTTAATGAGAATACCAGAATCATGAATTTCGCTATTCCCGGCCACGCCCATCTTTTCCATAGCTAAGGAGATGTTCTTGTAGTACTTATTTACCGAGGGGCCACCGACTTAGCGACACCCTCATAAGTGCTACGGAGTTGGAGGTTCGGGTAGGGTCCTCGGTAACGATTCACCTCTCAAGTGGGCGATGCAACCAAAGTTTATTTTGTTTAAGCTCTCGATAGCCGAACAGTTAGAAATACATAATCTTACACCTGACGGAATCCATCTTTGACATAAAGGATGAGACGTACACAAACATGTCATGTAAAATAAAGTGCTCCGAGACTTAAACGTTCGAAATTTCACGTCTATTATGACTTAACTTTATGTCAAAATTGACGCTCGTATATGTCAGTCTCAGAGCATCTAAATCTACATTAATATTTCTAAGTGTGTGATCAAGATGTGAATCACATAAATAATGGTTTAAATTGACTTTTCCTCACTTCCCCCTTAATGTTTTCAACTGCTTTCATGTTGTTATTACTGTTATACTTTGTACGTATGTTTTTTTTACCTATGCGAGCATTGAATTTCTCCATTAGAAATAAACTGTAGAACTAGGAATAAAATGTACCCATGAACATCAATGGCAAGACTGGATTTCTTACATCCTCTGCATGTTTTCTTACAACAACTGTAATGGCGGTTCTTGCTATGGACGTTTGTAGCGTACAAACAAGTTTTTATAGAATAAATATTTTCGTAGAAAACCTTTGTTGGTTGATTTTATAGCAGCAGTGCATTTGAAGAAATAAACATTGTCGAAAAATAAGCTAAGCTAAATAAAAACAAAAGTATTTAAAACAAAAATTCTGATTAATCCTTTTACCGCTGACAAGTGCCTTTCTCATTTCATTTCATCTTCATTTTGTAGTATAGAAGGGGGTCAAGGGCCAGGTCTCTGGTGTGTTTAGGCACCATTCACGCTATACCAGTAGACAGGGGGTTGGCATCACAGCATCTTTACCAGCAGGTTAAATAAATTCTGTGTGTAGTAGGCAAAAATGATTGAGGACGTGCTTAGTGAAGACGATTGGAAAATGCTGAAACGGGTTGGTTTCACCGCGTCTGATGTGGATCGAAAAAGCCTCTGACGGTACTCGGTAAAGTGGACGCAGAAATCGAAATCGGCGATGCCAACTGCCATACAACCTTCTTCGTGATTCAAGATGGAAAATGCTCGCTGCTGTGTGGAAATTCTGCAGAAAAACTTGAGGTAGTAAAGTTTCTGCATGCGATGTCTACTGAGGAGTTGCCTCACATCAAAGGTAAGAAGTCTACAATTTAATAATTAGTTACGGTAGATGCTTCATTTTGCGTGCACTAAATATATTATCTTAAACATTTAGATATGATGTGCATCTATAAAAATAGACAAGTCTGTCCCTCCAGCAAGACAAGCTTATCGACGTATTCCCATACCGCTTGAAGAGATTACACTTCTCAAATTAAAAGAGTTGTAAAGTCAGGGTATCGTATAAAGAGCTAACCAAGCATCAGAATGGGTGTCTCCCATGCTTGTGAAGTTCAAATGAAGTCAGAATAATCATAGATTTACGAGAAGCGAACAAGGCAATCGTTCGCTACCCACAATGGAGCAAATTATTTGTTAACTGAAGGGAAGTATGGTCTTCACTAAACTGGATGTAAAACAAGCATTTCACCAGTTACTACCAGTCGAGAAGAATGCAGATATATCACGACATTCATCTCACCCCTTGGATTGATGCGATATAAGCGACTAGCATTCGGTTTATCAGCAGCTCCGGAGTTGTTTAAGAAATGCATGGAAACAATTCTTGGTGATTTTCCTTGGCTAACTGTTTTAATTGATGATGTTTTAATTTTCTACTCTTAAGGTATATTTATATTTGGCAAGTTTTTTTAAAAGTAATATTTCAACCCAAAATTATACCTACGAACAGAGCAGACGCCTTAAGGAGAAAAGTGTCCTTCTGAATGATACTGCTTAGACTATAGAAAATGCAAACCAGATAGATTTTCTTGGTTATCATCTATCATCTGAAGGGGTAAAGGCATCGAATGAAAAGCTACAAGCTATCACCAAATTCCGTCAACCAAAATCAACAGAGGAACTCAGAAGCTTTTTGGGGTTAGTCACATTTGTAAATCGTTATTTTACCGGATTTATCAACTATCTCGCATTTCTGTGGAATAATGAGCATCAACAAGTATTAGAATTCAGTGTTCACTCGGCTGTCGACAAAAGCAGGCCACTTTCGATGTGTGCTACGCGGTCGTCTGTTTACTCGGCAGCAACCATTGTTTGGTCCTCCTCATTGTTCTTCATCAGCAGTTCTTTCGGTCGATGCGTCGTCGACTTTGGAAAGCAACCGTTTCGTGATGAGCGTGTGAGTGCTGACCACGTTTTGCGTCCATTGCTGCAATGGACGCACTCTGACCCTCGTTGGCGTACAACAATTTGCCATACAATGAAACTAGTGGAAGCGGCTCCAGTTCTGATGGAGGAGGCTT